CACATGAGCCTTCTGGTCTCTCTTCCTGTTGAGATAAGGCTACCAGTTTTCAATTATGAGTGTCCCAACCTGAACACCTTACCTAATTCTAATTATCTCCCAAAGCTGTGACCTCTAAGTACCGTGGTCAGATTAAGTTTCTGCCTTCTTCATTCATCACACTGAGGATTAAATTTCAATAGGAGTTTTGGTAGAGACATTCAAAACATAGCAAGTAGTAACTGCAGTGTTACAATAGTAGCAGGAATGAATTTGAGGAGACTGGAGCAGTGTAGGAAATGATCTCATCTCCTGTTACATTCACTGTTTGTTCAGCACTAGCCACACTGGCCTGATTAGTGTTCCTTGATCATCCCAAGTGCACGTTCATGCCTTGGGGTCTTTGCAGTAGTTCCCTATACCTGGGAAATTACTACTCCAAACATCTTCCTTCAGAACTTTCAACCATCACCTTGTCAAAAAGGATTACCCTGATGGCACTATTTTAAATAATAACTCTCGTGTCCTTGTCCCTCAATACCAAACCCTCCATAATCTGCTGTATTTCTTTTATCCCAGAACACTTAGCACTTCTAAAATATTATATAATTTATTATTTTAATTTTTAATCTGTCTCTTTCTAGTAGACAGTAAGCTCCATAAGGCCAAGGGCTTCTTATCTGAATTTTTTTTCTAGCTTATTTCAGTTATGTAGAACAGAACTTGGCACTCATGAAGTATTTGGTCAATAAGATGAGGGCAGGGAGAAACTTGGGCAAAGACATAACCTGAGGTGGATTATGTTTTAACAGAACCATTGGCTGCTGTGTGAAAGTAGTCTAAGAGGTTGTGTAGACACAGTACAAGAAGACCAACCACGAAGGAGGCAATTGTAGTGTCAACAGGCAAAGCTACTGAATAAGAACCATAGCAGGAAGGAGATGAGAGGTGATGGAATATATCTCAGATGAAACTTTATTCCATAATAAGATTGTAGTAAAACTCAAAGCTAAATAATACTGATGAAGTATGATGATTGTATCAGTAAATGACAGATGTCACCTAAGCACCTCAGACACCATTTAAGCAACAATAGAGGGGCTGGTGCTGTGGTGCAGTGGGTTAATAATGCCCTGGCCTGAAGCGCTGGATCCCATATGGGTGCCGGTTCGAGACCTGGCTGCTCCACTTCCCATCCAGGTCTCCGCTATGGCCTGGGAAAGCAACAGAAGGTGGTCCAAGTCCTTGGGCCCCTGCACCTGCGTGGGAGACCTGGAAGAAGCTCCTGGCTCCTGGCTTTGGATCGGCACAGCTCCAGCTATTGCGGCCAACTGGGGAGTGAACCATCGGATGGAAGACTCTCTCTCTCTCTCTCTGCCTCTCCTCTCTCTGTGTAACTCTTTCAAATAAATAAATAAATCTTAAAACAATAAACAACAACAATAGAGCCTTTAACACACCACATATCCACAGGTGCAAAACTACTATTTTCATTCTTTAGACTAATAATTATTATTAAACTATTACTGGAAACCTAAATATGTAAAATGCATTTGTCTTTTCCATGAAGAATCTGTGAGAGAAGATTGAAAAAACTTCAAACAATGTACATCTAATCTGTTGATATTTCAAAACACTTTGAGATATTTTTTAGTAAATTTGAAATAGATTGAGATTTAAATGTGTGATTCTATTGTTTAAAAAGCCAACTATGGGGACCGGCACCGTAGCGCAGTAAGTTAATCCTCCGCCTGTGGCGCTGGCATCCCGTATGGGCACCGGTTCTAGTCCCGGCTGCTCCACTTCCAATCCAGCTCTCTGTTATGGCCTGGGAAAACAGTAAAAGATGGCCCAAGTCCTTGGGCCCCTGCACCCACGTGGGAGACCAGGAAGAAGCGCCTGGCTCCTGGCTTCGGATGGGTGCAGCTCTGGCTGTTGTGGTCATTTGGGGAGTGAAGCAACGGAAGGAAGACCTTTCTGTCTCTCCCTCTGTCTGTAACTCTACCTCTCAAATAAATACACAAATAAATCTTAAAAGAAAAAAGCCAACTATGTATGTCTCTTTAAAAAGAACACTGGGGCCAGCACTGTGGTGTAGCAGTTAAAGCATCTCCTATGGGTGCCCGTTTGTGTCCTGGCTGTTTCACTTCCAATCCATCTCCCTGCTAATGGCCTGGGAAAAGCAGCAGAGGATGGCTCAAGTGTTTGGGCCCCTGCCCCCAAACGGAGGACCTGGAAGAAGCTCTAGGTTCCTGCCTTCAGCTTGTTTCAGTCCCAGCTATTGAGGCTATCTGGGGAGTGAACCAGTAGATGGAAGATTCTGTCTCTCTATCTCCTTCTCTTACTCTTTCAAATAAGTAAATAAATCTTAAAAAAGAGAACAACAGAACATCAACAATATTTAGTTTGATTTCACGGATTGAGCCCAGTCACACACTCTTGCTGGATACATGAAACTGAGCCAGTTATCCAGAAATTAGCAGGAAGAATTTGGCAACAACAAACACAATGTCTCAAAATGGTGCTCATATTAATAGAAGTGGTTCCTTAGGATCAAACCTCAGAGCTAATTTACTCTTATAGGAGACAAAATTCTAACAAGACACTTACTATGACTTACCAGTCTTTGGCATAGTAAAGATAAAATGGAAATAAATGGGCTGTTAGCGATAGTCTTAGTGACTGCAGCGAAAGGAAGCAGTTATGTAATGTGAGGGAAGAAAAATATGTCTGTCTATCCATTCATGCAAAAGCTCGAGAAACTCAGAAACTCCAACACTCTAGAATTGTCTTGACTCATCCACTCTACGCTTTCCAAAAACATTGCCGTATAACTGCCCAGGTCACTTTTCAAGGATCTTCATTAAGATCCAGACATTTTTTTAATGATTCAGATATATTCAATATATGTGTTTTTAAAAGACAATGGTATATCTAATATATTTTAGAAAGATTTGGGGAGGGGCCAGCGCTGTGGCGTAGCAGGTAAAGCTGCTGCCTGCAGTGCTGGCATCCCATATGGGCGCCAGTTCAAGTCCTGGCTGCTCCACTTCCAATCCAGCTCCCTGCTATGGCCTGGGAAAGCAGTAGAAGATGGCCCAAGTCCTTGAGCCCCTGCACCCATGTGGGAGACCCGGAAGAGCGCCTGGCTCCTGGCTTTGGACTCGCACAGCTCTGGCTCTTGCAGCCATCTGGGGAGTGAACCAGTGGACAGAGGACCTCTCTCTCTCTCTTTCTCTCTCTCTCTCTCTCCTCTCTGTGTAACTCTGACTTTCAAGTAAATAAATAAATCTTAAAAAAAAAAAAGAAAGATTTGGGGAAACAAAGTTTAAATGGTTTTGGAATTGGGGAACTTCAACTTCAGTAATATAAAAGAAATTCAGTTCATTTTGGTAGTTCATTTCTTGATAACACTAAATAATAACTTTTTCAAGGTTGTGACCTGTAAAATTCATACTATGTATTCTAACAAAAAGTGAAAATTGCTGAGTTCCCACAGGCAGTTATGTCTATCAACATGACTAAAAACAAAGCTTTCTGGTGATGACTGCATCCTGCGTGCAGTCCCGGGAGAGTGCACAGTGACAGCCTGAGGAGGAGCTCACAAGTGTGTTCACTGTGGGAAGGATGAGACGGTCAGTGACCTTGCTGCTTTAGGCTCTGCAAATGTTGTGGCTCACCTCCAGCATCCCACTCTGTCATTAGGAAGAACACGGCTGCTTGCATTCTCCAGTCATCAGTAACCAAGCCACATATGTTTGCCATCTTTGTTACAAAGTCCTCATGGCAGTTTTCACTGTGATCTCTCATACAGCATGTTGGGTGGGAGGGATATAGGTCTGTTGATCCTAAAAGTGATGACAAAGACTGATAATTACCTTCAATTAATTTTACTTCTTCAAGGAATATCTTTTGGCTACACATTTGGGGCATTTCAGTGAAAATAACCAACAAAGTATGATTGGCAATGGTTCTTTGGTTAAGGTCAATGGGATCTCGGGGAGACCATCCAGGACTACTGGGGGCTCTTATGAGCCTGCTGAAATTATGTCAAATTGTATGAATATACATTTTTCCAGGAAAATGAGCCAATACATTCACCCTACTTTTACAGTGTGATACCAGCCTCTAGAATTTAAAAAAGATTAAAAACCACTGTTGTCAATGATAAGTATAGGCAGAATTCAGAATATGTCCCATCAATTTCTGAGAACAGAAATTTCTGGCAGAATACACCTATTCCATAGCTCTTCCCTTTCTCTAACCCATCTGGTCAATATTATCCAGGTGGTCTAGGACTTAAATTCAGTTTGGTACAATGGGTAAACTGTAGGCATTGTAAAAAGACTTCATGGATTCAGATCTGACTTGGCCACTAACAGCTCGATGAGTTCAGGTAAATTAACACTCAATGCTCGGTTTCCTTATCTGAAATCCGGGGACCATGATGATGCCCGCCTCATAGGGATGAAATGAGCATTGAGGAGCTCATGCGAGTGCTACAATGGTCCCAGAACCTGACTCTAAGAATCTCATCAGTGATACCGCTGATGAGGTTTAATGAATTCCTAATAAAATCCTTAATTTTGAATGTCTACTTTTTATAATATAGATTATAGCTAGTGATCTTTGCATGGCAGTGAAAATCATCACATTTTAAACTCCCTTTTGTCAATGCTTGTCAACATTCAAACTTTGGCGACTTACATTGTGACACCTTGTATGTGAATTTGTTTTGCTGAAATTTTTATATGTAAGCATTACACATTGTTTGTTTCTTTTTAACTCTGTAAACAAATCTAAGCTGTTCATTAAACCTGTTAAAACATGATACCAGTTTTTGGGCCACGATATAAAATTGAAAAAGTATTTGAATAAAAATAACAAGTTTATTGGGTTTATATAGAAAGGAAATATAAAATGTATGTAAAGTTGCCTGGCTTGTTCTTCTTTCTTCAGAAGGGTAAGAATCCTAAGCAAATAGACAAATGTGTTTGAAACATTGCTCTTTTCTTCCACAGCTCTTGTAGTGAGATTTCTGACCAAACGCTTCATCTGGGAATACGACCCCACCCTCGGTAGGTCCAATTTTGTTTCCTCCACAAAGTTTGTGATACAAAGAAAGGATGAGGTTTTTTGCTGTAACATGTTTATACCTCTTGTGGATGTTTTGAAAGAGGTTTATCAAATTATGCAGAATCCCTGAAAGACAGCAGATATCTGTCTCATGCTCTCATGCTTAGAACTCTGCAGACTTGGGGGCTGGCACTGTAGTACAGCAGATTAAGCCGTGGTCTGCAGTGCCAGTATCCCATATGGTTTGAGTCTGGCTACTCCAGTTCTGATCCAGCTCCCTGTTAATGCTCCTGGGAAAGCAGCAAAGGATGGCACAAGCACTTGGGCCCCTGCACCCACATGGGAGACCCGGAAGAAGCTCCTGGACCCTGGCTCCTACTTGGCCAAGCCCCGGCTGTTGTGGCCATTTGGGGAGCGAGCCAGCAAATGAAAAAGATCTCTCTGTCTGTCCTCTCTCTCTGTGTAACACTGCCTTTCAAATAAATAAATAAATCGTAAAAGGAAACAGAACTCTGCAGGATTTTAATGCATGCATGAGGAAGTGAGGTCAAACCCGAGACAAGAATGAAGCGGATATAATGTGATGCCCACACATTAGAAATATGCAGGGTCATTCTTTTTTAATGAAATATCTCTTTATTTCTAGTAACTTTTTTTGTCTCAAGGTGTTTCATTCCCCTAATGTTAGTAAAATTACATCAGCTTTCTTTTAGTGTTTGAACACATTATTTGTCCTTTTATTTTTAACCTTTCTTTATAATTTTTAAAGAAAACTTTTATTTAATAAATGTAAATTTCAAAAGTACAACTTTTGGATTATAGCAGTTCTTCCCCCCACCATAACCACCCTCCCACCTGCAAACCATCCCATCCCCAACACACTCTCCCATCTCATTCTTCATTAAGATTCATTTTTAATTATCTTTACATACAGAAGATCAACTTAGTATATACTAAGTAAAGATTTCAACAGACTGCACCCACAGACACACAAAGTATAAAGTACTGAGTAGTAGTTTTACTGTTAGTTCACATACTACAACACATTAAGGACAGAGATCCTACATGGGGAGCAAGTGCACAGTGACTCCTGTTGTTGATTTAACAATTGACACTCTTGTTTATGATGTCAGTAATCACCCAAGGCTCTTGTCATGAGCTGCCAAGGCTATGGAAGGCTCTTGAGTTCACAAACTCTGACCCTATTTAGACAAGGCCATAATTAAAGTGGAAGTTCTCTCCTCCATTCAGAGAAAGGTATGCAGAGTCATTCTAATTGAAGAAAGGATAACGGACATGGCAAGCTTAGTGTGGAATGAAATGGCATGCTGAGGAGAGTGTGACAGTGAAAAAAATCTGAAAAATGGTTGTGGGAAAGTGTAAGACTGGATCTCTATTTCTCCCCTTTTTATCAGCAATGAATCTGACTCGTCTGTTTAAAGAAAAGATGGGGTGGGCATTTGGTGTAGTGGTTAAGATGCCCTTCAGATGCTGGTATCTTCCATGTTGGTGTGCCTAACTTTGCCCCTGATTCCAGCTTCCTGCTGATGTGCACCCTGGGAGGCAGCAAGTAGTTGGGTCCAGCCATTGAGGTGGCAGACCAGGACTGAATTTTGTGCTCCTGTATTCAGCCTGGCCCATCCTCAGCTACTGTAGGCATTTGGGGGTGAACCAGTGGATGGGAGATCTCTCTCTCTCTCTCTCTCTCTCTCTCTCATTCTGTGTGTGTGTGTGTGTGTGTGTGTGTGTCTGGCTTTCAAATGAATGAAAAGAAATAAGTGAAAGTTAAAAATCATAAAGCAAAATGTGATGTCTGTAGATCTTGAAAGCAGCAATCAGGGCTGGTTGTGGTGCAGCAGGTTAAACCAGCACCTGTGATGCTGCCATCCAATTTGGGTACCAGATGAGCCCTGGCTGCTCCAGCTCTGATCCAGCTTCCTGCTAATGCACCTGAGAAAGCAATGGAAGGTGACCCAAGTACTTGGGTCCCTGCCATCCATGTGGGAGACCTGGATGGAGTTTCAGACTCCTGGCTTCAGCCTGGCCCAGTGGCCCCTGACATTTGGGGAGTGAACCAACAGATGGAAGATCTCTGTCTCTCCCTCTATCTGTAAAATAAACAAATAATTTTATTTAAATAAAAAGAACTCTGCCTTTAAAATAAACAAATAATTTTAAAAAAAGCATGAAGTACGAAGTGTGGGCAAAGACCATTCACTTTCTTTGTAGATTGTTGTTGTTATTTTCACTTCAAAATTACATATGCTCAGTTTACAAGAAAGCTTTCTTTTCCCATTGTCCCTTTTTGTTGTTTAAATTCGTTTATTTGAAACATTTATTAAACATCTCCTGTGCACTAGCCGTATCTTTCAGTCCTGAGGAGAAAGCAGTAGCAGAAAGAGAAAACTTCATTTTTTGAGCTTAAGGAAGCAAAGGGAAGAGTAAACAAATAAATATGTCAGAGAGTGATAAGTGCTGTGAAAGAACACCCAACAATGAGGGAGATAAAACTAACATCACAGTTTGTTTATTGAATATTTAACTGTTTAATATGCCTAGAATTTATTTTAATGAGAAACACAAAGTGAAGACCCATGTTTTTTCCAAAATCATTCACCAATTTTCCTCCTTTAGTAAATATCCCTACCTTTCCCCACTACTTCCAGTGTGGTTATTGTATATTAAATCATTCACACCAGGGCACAGTTCTGGATCTGTTTTTCACATCAAACCCCAGTAGCACACTCTTGATACTGGCATGTTCTGTAGAACATTCAGGTATTCAGTAGGGGAAGAAAATCTTACTTTTTTACAGAATTATCTTGGCTACTCTCTTCGGCGGCTTTTTCCAGGTTAATTTTAGAAACTCTGTCATAACATGACATGATTTGGATTGGAATTGCACTAAAATGATGAAGTACTTCAAGAAGACTCACATCTTTATGACATTAAGTCCTTTAATCTAGGAGAATAGCATGCCTCTGGTAACTATTCCTCTCTGGTTTTAAATAGTTTTTTCATCAAAAAAAATTAACATATCTTTTTTTTTTTAAATAGCCACTTTAAGTTTAAATGATATATTTGAATCTAAAAATGTAATTTTAAAAAAGTTCTCCTTGTCTATTATTTCTCCCACCTAAGTGAACACTTATTCTCTTTTTGTTTTAAAAAAGGATTTATTTATTTATTTATTTGAAAGGCAGAGTTACAGAGAGGCAGGGGCAGAGAGAAAGAGAGAGGTCTTCCATCTGCTGGTTCACTGCCCAAATGGCAGCAATGGCCAGAGCTGGGCTAATCCGAAGCCAGGAGCCAGGAGCTTCTTCCAGGTCTCCCACATGGGTGCAGGGGCTGAAGGACCTGGGCCATCTTCTGCTGCTTTCCTAGGCCATAGCAGAGAGCTGGATTGAAAAAAGGAGCAGCCTGGACTCAAACCAGTGCCCACATGGGAGGCCAGCACTGCAGGCAGCAGCTTTACCTGCTATGCCACAGCACTGGCCCCCATCTCCTCTTACACTTTATTACTGAACCTTCAAAGAGATTATTGGAGAATCTTAATGATTTATGGGAGTTGAAAAATACTAATTTTATTCATGGTTATATTTGTATATCTGAATGAAAGATGAAGCTTATAAAATAATCCTACAAATTATTAAATTTTCATTTATTTTGTTTTGAAAAGCAGACAGAGATCTCCCATCTGCTAGTTCATTCCCCTAAAATGCACTCAAAAGTCAGGAGCTGGGAACTCAATCCAGGTCCCCCTCGTGGGCGGCAGCGACCCAAATACTTGAAGCATCATCACCTGCGGCTTCCCGGGATGTGCATTAGCAGCAGCCTGGAGCAGGGAGCAGAGCTGGGACTGCAACTCAGGAACTCAGACACAGGATGTGGGTGTCCCAAACAGCTTGTTAACCGCTACACCAAATGCCCACTCCTTAATGTCACGAAGCTATTGAATTCTCTCTGAATGTACTCCAGTAACTATTGTTACTATTTTTAATTAGCCTTAGGTGAACCATTTTCCCTTTTGCTTTATTCTTTCTGAAAAACAACTGCTGTCAATGGAAACCAGCTTGCGTCAGTCACAGGTAATGCAGGCTCCTGTCACCGAGAACAGTGACAGTTGATTGAATGACCTTGTACAGTAGGGCACAAAGAGGATCTCGGGTGCTAAGCAACAAGAACTTTCCTCAGACTGCAGGCGTTAACAGATGTATGACTCACTCTCAGGTTAGGGTTGCATTAGCTCTCATGCTGGAGACTGGATTTGCATGTGTGTGTGTGCATGCTAATGTTCTAACCTAGAGTAGTTCCTAGTCCATTTGATTCAAAAGAAATAGCATGTCCTGGGATTAACTTCACATTTCCCTAGGGAAGACAGGATCCTTTGTGGAATAAAGGACTTTAACTGCAACTATCAAAACTACCACTAATGGAGGGCTACACTAAAAGGCAAACTATCTTTGTGAAAAAAACCATCTTGAGTTCTGAATTCAGTGCATTTGTCAGAATCATGAAGCTATGCTTTCAAACTAGAACAGAATCCTTGCTCTCTGAGAAGCCACAAACTGTGAACAGCATTGGGCATCCTAACAGAACTGGAAGAGTTACTGCTTTGAAATAATTCTAAGTAAAAACACTGGCTACTGTAGGAGCACATGATGTCCATGGCTTTAGGCTTCAGGAACAGTCTTTGTTTTTTCTTTTATGTTAGTTGTTATGTAGAGAGGCTATCACAAGAATTTCAAGGAGAAAAGCAAACAAGGGCTCAGGGGGAGGCAGCAAGGGAGAGGGAAACCTTAATCTGCACGCAAACATCAATGTCACAAAACCAGGAATTTTTTAACCTCCACATGTTTTAAAGGATACAATCTAAGTAAAAATAAAATTTAATCTTTTTCATTGATTAGTTTTAGTTTTTCTGGAATTTTCAGTGCAGATCAGTGAAATCTTTGTTAGGGACTAGCTTTGGTCTAGGAACAGCATTTGAAAACCACCACTGAAGCCCACAAGGTTTGGGACTTGGACGCTGTAACTGGGACAAAACTCTAAGGGTGTTGACAGCAATGTTCTGGCTGTGGAACAACAGGATCCAGGTTCTGATTAGGTCCCAACCAAGAAATGAGTGTGACCTCCACGTGTCTTATTGTCCAATTAAAATGTTGGTCATTGCACAAAATATAGACAAAGGTGTATTTCACATGCTGTTGTGTGTGTGTGTGCATGTGTGCCTGTGAATGTGTGTGTGTGTGCGTATGCATGTGTGTTGGGGGCCATGGAACAAGAAAAGAAAAACTGCATTCAGTTCCCGCCACTACTCCCTCTGGTACATCAGATGCACCATTTGAATGTAAAAGCCCAGTCAGGGGTGAAGGTGGAATCAGGCACACTTACTAGACCCACAGGTGGGCACACTCACTAGACCCACAGGCGCTCTGAGTCTGTGATTGATTTTCTTTTACTTGCTGTATTGCTTCCTCTCTTGGAAAGGCTCATATAAAAACAGAAAGACACATCCTGAACAAATGTTCTCAACTAGATACTGAAGCAGAAGTGCTTAGCCAACTCATAGAAATATTTAATATAAGCCCTGCAAGGAACTTGGAGATCATCACTTGACAAATAAGGAAACAAGTCCAAAGAAGTAAATGTATCCAAGATTATATGGCTAGTTTTTGCTTAGGCCAGCAGTAGAACTCATGTCAGTCCAATCTGTACTCTAGCATAAATCACCATTACTAACTACAGTTGTACAGTGCCAACCTCATGTCCACACTAATGGGCTTAAATTTGCAAAAAAGCTAAATTAGTGAAAGGATTAACCAGTCCCAACATCTCTTTGAGAATCAAATCTTTTAGAGTCTTAAAAAAAAAAAACACACTTCCACTTATAAAAGTATTACCGAATGCAGGTTTTAAAAATCATGTATCTCTTACATTAAGTGACATTTAAATATATTTTTAATATGCCTAATTCTATTTTGAAACTATTATTTGTCTTACAGTATGCAACACTGTGGTTCCTTTGAAAATATATCCTAAACAATCACTCCATATCCTTAAAAAAAAGACTCAAATGATTATTTTCCATTAACATATACAAAGTTAAAAGTATGTCCGCTACCCAAACACAAACACATTTTGTGTTTTGAATGCACATTATAGTTTATTCTCTCCACAAAAACAAAATGAAACAAGACACAGCTTAGTACATTTTGAAGAATTATCTCCAGAAAAGCTAGCACAGAGATGTACAACATTTACTTCTTTGGCCAATCCTTCCACTGTTTTATATGTGGAGAGAAAAAAAATGGGGGTTTCTAATGAGAGAGTTGAAAGAAAAAGGGGCTTGAAGTGATATGAAACCAGTATTCCTCTCAGATGAAATCACTGTGCCCACCCACTGCTGTGTCTGAGGCAGACATTCCCTCATTTCCTGCATTTCCTCCTTTTCCTTTCAGTTAACAAACAGCTGAAGAATCACACAACTGCATACAATTTTCATTATACTCTATTTCCCTCCTACTGTGGCCTTCTGTGGTTGAAATACTATTCATCATGGAAGCAACAGAGAAAAATGTCCTGGTCTCTTCGACAAGTTTTGGTGCAAAGAGATGGAATAGAGCCCAGAGCACTGTTTCCAGGCTCCAAGGCTGATGCCAGTCTCTTCAGAGGGAACTCAGCACAAAGGACACCAAAGAACAGATCCAAAAGGTCACGGTCCTACAGCATGTGGGATGTAGTCTCGCCTGCTCCTCCTTGAGCTGGGCCACTGAAGATGGAAAAAAAGAAAAAGAAAGAAAAAAGGAAATCATTGAGAGAACACTTAGGCACACATAGTTGCGGTAATGGGCATTTTAGAGCACTTAATCACACAAAAATATATTCTCCCATTTAACCTACGAGAGTAGGGGGATGAGGTATTCAAGAACTGAGGTTCCCTACACACGCCACATTCTAGGAGAATGGCAATAATGCAAAAGACACTTACTCAAATACACCGAGCATAATCTGAGTTTGCAATTTTGCTTTTTCGAAAATACTTCAGCACTGAGCCATGCCTGAGGCAGTGATCATGGTACAGTATTGATTGCAGGTAGAAACTACATGGTGATACTGAGTCAAGTTTTCTTTCTGCATTTTGTATTTTGGATAAGAGAGTACTAAATGGCCTTCCAAAAGCTTACAGAGATTTGTATTATGGGAAAACCATGCATGGATTTCAAAATGTTTTTGCACCATGACAAACTTTTAACTCTATTTCCCATAAACGTTTTGAAGTACAGCAAAGTAACTCTCAACTGCTCAAAAAAAAAAAAAAAAAAAGACTGCAAAATCGTCGATTAAGTGAAAGAAACATGAGGTAAAGGGCCAGCTTTGTGGCCTAGTGGGTTAGACAACCACCTGTGATGCCGGTATCCAATACAGGAGCCAATTCGAGTCCCAGCAGCTCCACTTCAGATCTGCCTTCCTGCTTAACGGCCAGGAAAGCACCTGGAGGAAGCTCCTGTCTCCTGGCTTCAGCCTGGCTGAACCCGGCCATTGCAGCCATTCGGGAGTGAACTAGCAGATGAAGAACTGTCTCTGTCTTTCCTTCTCTCTCTCTGTAAATCTGCCTCTCAATTAAATAAATAAATCATTTTTTAAAAAGATAGGGTCATTCTAGTGCAAAAACAATTGAAATTCATGTATAGTTTTTAAAAAAAGAAACATAGAAAAGAAGTTCATACAAACACTGGCTTACAGGCTACGCTCCAGGAGGCAGAAACTTCTAGGTTTATTTTGTTGGTAAGTTAGTGATGTGAGTCATTTAGGTACAAAGAACTGACTTAATGATAGCACCAGGCAAGGCCCTTTTGTTCTTCCACTTTATTTTTCCCTTAGAATTCTGACACCCTTGCACTCCTGTTTCCCATAAGTATATAATGTAATGTGTCTGGTGAGCATGGAGTTCAACAGCCTCAACTCCAAAGCCGGTTTTTCTGGAATCAAATCTCATCTCTACCTCTTGACACTGTGTGAACTTGGGCAAGTTATTTTACATTGCATGTTTCAGTTTCCTCTGTAAAATGGAGGTAATAGTAACATATGCTTCATGAGATGTTTCTGAAGATTAAATGAGTTAGCATAAGTAAAGCAGTTAGAATAACTGATGTCCAAATAGTAAGCAGTAGGTGCTAGCTGTTACATGTATTTTGGAAAAATAGTGGTTTGCTGCATGTGTGTTTATTTTAAATGTATATGATTTTTTGTGCTACAGATCTATTTCTGATATTTATAACTGAATGTGATATTTTAAAATCCATGCATGTTGCTACATAGACCACTAGTTTTCTGAGTTACAGTCTCTAATATGCCACAATGAAATTATCTTCCCAGAGATAAACATCTTAAGATGCCTGCAATATGAACTCCTGCTAATATCACCATGAAAAACAAATCAGTGGTTCTCAAACTTTAGTGCACATCTTAATCACCGAGAGGGTTTAATTTTAAGGATCAAATTAAATCCTGCAGGTATTTACTTTTTTTGTCTTCTTTATTTGCTCACTTTCCAGAATCAACCTACCGACACCAAGCAACCATCGATGATGAAGTGGTTTCCATGGAGATCCTAGATACTGCTGGTCAGGTGAATAAAGGGTTCAACTAAAATATTCTCTGGATCAAATGAAAAAGAGACATGCAAACTATGAACAAAATGAAGGCTCTAGACTACAACCAACTTTTGCATCCCTAAAAGTTTTTTCTCTAATTACCCTTTAGGCATAAACATATTTGTAACAGCTTGTGTATGCATCCTTAGGTAATCTCCCCAGTGTTTCAAGAAGGTTTTGAAAATACTATAATATTCCTGTATCATCTAGGTTACAGTTTCTCATCTATACTTTGGCACAGCAAGATATTAGTTGGTTTCCATGGTAAAATATATTTTGAAATGCTCAAATAAAACTGATCAGATGTCTTTACTGAAAGAATTCTCAGAGCCTCTAATATGCTTATATGTTTGGGGGATCTTGTATAGAGAGATTTACTATGCAAAGCTACTTCAAAAAGTTAATGAAAAACAGAATTAAATGGTAAATTTACATTTATGCAAAACAAATTTTAAAATTCAAGCACAATACACAATTTCCATGAACTTTTTAAAGACTCTCTGTATATTGTATCCCAAACTTCCATAACCTTATAAAAGTTTGTTTCTTTGTGTGTTTGTTTCAGAATAATTTATTTTAGAACTCTCTTGTGTAAAACATATTTTGTGAATTTCTTTTGGGTCAGTCAGTTCTGAGATTTCAAAGGGCTCACAGACAGGGCAAGTTCCCAGATATAGTCATCACCTATGAAATAATAGGAATCTGAAGGTTTCCATGGTACTTTATCAGTGAACTATGACATCAAGAGAATTTGAATTAAAGAATTGAATCCAAAAATATGATCTTGAAATGAATTATTCCTTTCCATTACCTTCTCCTTATACTTTGACCAAACACATATGCTCCGGGCACCAAACATAAGAGAGTGGCAGCTCAGAAATAAAAAGGGAATTTGAAAGTTTGTGGAAAATCGAATTAAAGATAAGTTTACTTTGGTGCAAAAGAATTTTGGAATCCATGTATAATTTGTTCATAATGTAAATTTTCCCAGAACTTGTTGGAGACCCCTCACACGTGCCCCTACAGTTATTAGATCCTTTGAAAGCAATGTGTTTTCAAGTCACATATGCTACCTACCCATGAAGGAGTGATCACTCCCTTTGAGAATCCCTTCAAATGAGTTTCTGTCATTACTGATACTGTAGAACACCTTTGAGGTGTGGGGATAGAAAGCAAACATGCAAACAGCCAGAATCCTTGGTTTAAGTTGCACTCCATACAACTTGTTACTGTTTTTCTGTCTCTGGCCCCCAAATGGCTATAACCTGAGAAGAGAGGAAATTCAAGCAAGTAAACAATAAAGAGTATCTTGCTAAAGTTTGGCTCTAATTCTGATACCTAAAAGGTGGAGCAAGGAGTAATGATTTCTTACTAATGTGTTAGTTCCTTAATCTGGTCAAAATATCAGAGACAAAGTTCTCAGCTAAGAGAACTTCCTTTATTATTCTTGTGATCATGGATTTAATGATATGGCAAGAAAAAGTTAAAAGCAGAAACTTAGTGTATGAAATTAGAAACTTTTCAGTTTTCTGAAATATCTTGATATGAGTAAGTAAAATTCCTATTCCAAACTGAAGGAGAAAGTAACTTTGTACCAGCATCTGAACAAATCACTTTAATGATACTGGATGCAAAGAACAGTAATTAAAAGATGATTACTAGCATTAGCCAAGTCTACACATTGTGATAACCTCCAGATCTTCTGACTCCTGTTTGTCTTTGCCAACAGGAAGATGTCGTTCAGAGGGAAGGACACATGAGATGGGGGGAAGGCTTTGTGCTGGTCTATGACATTACTGACCGAGGAAGCTTTGAAGAAGTACTGCCACTCAAAAACATCCTCGATGAGGTCAAAAAGCCCAAGAATGTGACTCTCATCTTGGTTGGTAACAAAGCTGACTTGGACCACTCTAGACAGGTCAGTACAGAAGAAGGGGAGAAGCTGGCCACGGAATTGGCATGTGCTTTCTATGAGTGCTCTGCATGCACCGGAGAAGGGAATATAACCGAGATATTCTACGAGTTGTGTCGGGAGGTGCGTCGCCGGAGGATGGTGCAAGGCAAGACGAGGAGACGCAGCTCCACCACGCACGTCAAGCAAGCCATCAACAAGATGCTCACCAAAATTAGTAGTTAGGCTGCTGTGTGCTTGCCCCAGCCCTGCTTAGGTGGGCCAGGTCAGTGGAAACCCTCTGTTGCCCTTTTCTTTCCTTTTCTTTCCTTTCCTTTCCAAAAACAAAACAAAAATATCCCATTCCTTGTTTTGACACTGGGAAATGCCTGGGCTTCACATCACACCTTGCCTTCCATAGAGCGTTTATGCAACTTCAATGCTGACAATGTCTCCCTCTCCTGTTTGATATGGTACACTCTAATGTAGTTAGAACATGTAACCACCACAAATTCTGAAATGGGTGGATTCATATTAAGCAATTTTTAGGCACCTTCACCTGCTTAAATAGGTTGAAGTCTTTTCACAAGCATTTTTAAACTCCATTTCCTGTCAGACTACAGATGATCATCTTAAAAATCTAAGATGGCAGACAAACACAGAAAGGGTAGCTGAGCTATTGAAACAGGAAACAGAGCTCTAGTTTCTATTTAAAGATAGGATTTTCTGAATTCTCTTACGTCATTTAGTTTTGCTTTAACTATTTTGCTCTTAGGTTTTAATATGTCATCGCTAAGATTTTCCACTATTACTAGAGAGTCCATTTAACTTGAGTTGATTCTCTCAATGATCACTACTCCATATTCTTCTTCCTTGCCTCAGTCAAGGCACTAATTGTAATAGAGGCATGAAGACCCATAACTCAGGTTCTTCTATGCCTTTGCTCACCAAGCCCAGAGTGATGTAAAAACATTAGAAATTTTTTCATCAAGCTCTGACTTTATTGAATGCAGGCAAAAAATTTAGAATTAGGGATGTTTGAATCGTTACTCACTCTGTTGATAATCTTAGCAGAAAGACATGTGGGGAAAAAAAAGTTAACAACTATACATCTGTTGGGAAGCCAAAGTTCTTTGCCAGACATAGTCAGATAAATTAGCCTCTGATTCCTTAAGTTGACCATATGAATTCCTTTAGTATTTTGGATAAATTACTTCACTTAAGAGAATTCAGAAAACAATGGATGATTAAAGATCATTATACCTGAGTATATATATTTGAAACAGATTCTTGTATTGTGGAAGTATGGGATATAACTGATAAAACTTTGTGATTCCTTTCTCCCTATTATGCCCCCACATATCAAGATTTGGGCACTTTATTTTAGAATAAAATATATATCTTTTACATATGTATTTATAAGTGCATAGGTATATGTATAAAATTTGTAAGTGTGGAAGCTTTAATTCACCAATGTATTTGGACAACTTGGTGTAACTGACTTTATTTTATGTGATTATAATAAAAAAGTATAATTTTCAAATTCTGCTACATTTGTGCAGTCTTTTTGTGAAAACATAGAAAGAGAAACTTAAGAGGACAGTTGAATTGTAGAGTTAAGAATTAAACTAAAAAATTAGTTCCTGTTGATAACAATTACTATTTTTGAAAGATTAGGTGCTATTTTAGATGTTTTATGTATTATCTCATCAAATCTTCACAATAAATCTATAAAAGAGGAGTGCCATGACCATAACTTAGAGATACACATATGAGCCGCCAGGGTCGGGGTAATAATTTAGACAAGTATGCACAGCTATTCAGTTGGTGGAACCAGGATTTAAACCCAAAGGTCAGAGTCAGACTCTCAACTCCACACTATTATCCATTGTGTAGTTTTTATCCTGAACTGTAGGGATGAAGACATAGAAGCAGATAATTCAGGGAAGATTTGCTTCCCTTGTTATTTCATTCATTGATTACCTGAACAAGTTAGTCTATTTGTTGGTATCTGATTTGAATATTAATATATTAAAATTATTCAACAAAGGATGATAGTAAAAATATTCCAGACAAAGAAAATAACATGAAATCAAAATATGGAGACATGAAACATGATGGTAAATTGTGATAATTCAAAGGAATTTAGAGGGCCACACCTATTATTTTTAGGGAAAAAAATGAAAGATTAGCAAAAAGAAATAATTCAAAGAAAGAGATAGAATAAATGAGTAAAAAGTACGATAAAATTGTCCAAAATCTATACTCATGCAGGCAACTACCTATTAAAGGACCAAGTTAGTAAACTCAGCTGTGATCCATTTTCAGGGATGTCCACTTAAACAACGTAGGAGGAACAAAAACAGAAAAAATATTCTTGAAATTCTATCACCTTCTCTAATCAACTCTATTTCACACTTTCTTATATATACTTGGAAATATAGTTCAGCTAGTTCATATTAAAAGCAAGCCCTAAAGCAACATCGTGAAATAACTGGGTGTCAATCATGAGTCAGAAACTAAAAAAGTGAAATACACAGTGACCAGCATTAGCAACTCCCTTAGACATATAATGCCAATTTAGACTTGTTAAAAATCATAGAACCACTAGCATAAGTTCCAACTGGTAATTAGAGAAGAACGTGAGATTGCACAAAAATGAATTAGTTTTTCTACTTATGCCCCTGGCATCTCCACAAATGAAGGTTATAAATGAATTAACACTATCAGTTCTTTGGAAGCTGAGTTTCATTTTCGTTAATGCCAATGAAGCAAGATTAACTTTGTAAAGAGTAGGGGTAGGATTTTATTTTCAGTATTAAACATATAGCTTTAATCTGGCCTGGATGGAATAACAGGAACCAGATTAACTCACATATTAAAAAAAAAAAAAAAAAGACGCAACCAGATCAAATACATGGAACAATCACTTCCAGACACCGAATAAAGAGCAATACAGGCTGGCGCTGCGGCTCACTAGGCTAATCCTCTGTCTTGCAGCCCCGGTACACCGGGTTCTAGTCCCGGTCGGGGCGCCGGATTCTGTCTCGGTTGCCCCTCTTCCAAGCCAGCTCTCTGCTGTGGCCAGGGAGTGCAGTGGAGGATGGCCCAAGTGCTTGGGCCCTGCACCCCATGGGAGACCAGGATAAGTACCTGGCTCCTGCCATCGGATCAGTGCGGTGCACCGGCCGCAGCGCGCCGGCCGCAGTGCGCCAGCCGCAGCGGCCATTGGAGGGTGAACCAACGGCAAAGGAAGACCTTTCTCTCTGTCTCTCCCTCTCACTGTCCACTCTGCCTGTCAAAATAAATAAATAAAAAAAGAGCAATACAGCACTATGATCCCTGAGAAATGGGAAGAAAATGAGGTAAAACCTATGATTTCATCAATTTACTGCTATGTGGCATATTACCAGGATCAATATAGCCTAAATGTAAGAAGTGAAACTATGAAATTGCTAGAAAAAAAACATAAGGGAAACACTTCACAACATTGGTGTTGGCAATGATTTTTCTACATGAGACCCAAAAGCACAAGCAGCAGAAGCAAAACTAGACAAATGGGATTATATTAAATGCAGAAGCTTCAGTACAGCAGATGAAATAATCAATAGAGTGAGATGTCATCCGACAGAATGGGAGAAAACATTTGCAAGCTACTTACCTGACAAGGGATTAATATCCAGAATACATTATAAACTCAAAAAACTCAACAACCAAAAACAATCAATGCAATTAAGAAATGGGCATAGGACCCCTATACACACTTCTCAAAAGAAGAGATACAAATGGCCAACAAATATATGTAAAAATATTCAACATCACTAGCCATCAGGGAAATGGAAATTAAAACCACCATGAGATACCATTTCACCCCTGTTAGAATGGTTATCACCTAAAAGAAAGTAACAAATGTTGGGGAGGATGGGGAGAAAGGGGAACTCATACACTGTTGGTGGTATTGTAAATTAGTGTAGCCACTCTGCAAAACAATATGGAGATGTCTTTAAAAAAACTAAAAATAGAACTGCCATACCATCCAGCATTCCCACTATGTGTATATATTTAAAAGACAAGAAATCTGTATCAAAGAGATACCTGCTCTACAATGTTTATTGCAGCACTGTTCACAATAGTCAACCAAGGCATTCATTATCAATGAATGCATAAAGAAAATGTGATATATATATATACATATGTATGTATAAACAATTGAATACTATTCAGCCACAAAGAGAATGGAATCCTGTCATTTGCAGAAAAATGGATGGAACTAGAAAACATTGTCAAGTCAGACACAAAAGACAAATAATAAATTTTCTCCCTCATATGTCAGAACTTTAAAAAGCCTCAATATAAAAACAGAATGCTGATTACTAGAGGCTGGAAAGTATGGGAGGGAGAAAGGGAGTTTGAATAAACAAATAATAGGACTCGGGGTACTGTGTGCTGAGGCAAACACACTGCATAAGATGTTACTAACATGGCATCTGGGTTTGTGCTATAGGGGAACTTTTTGGACAACTCTAAAGTTCTTGTTTTTTAAATATAAAACTATTCTGAAGTAAATAGTTCTTTAAAATGAGCAAACATTTTGAATAGATAATTCACTTCAAAGATATACAAATGCAAAACAAATACATGAAAATATGTTCAACATCATTAGATGTTAGGGTAACGTGAACTAAAACTATAATATAGGAGTATCATATCATCAATACACATGCACTAGAATGGCTAAAATGAAAAGGGGAGAAAAGAGCAACCATACGCTTCTCTGTGAGAACACCTACGTCCTGGAGCTCTAAAACATTGCCAGCAGGAAAGTCAAACGGAACAAGCATTCCGGATATGAGTTTGTAGGCTGATTATGAAGGTCAACATATACTTCTCATACAACCCAGCAATTCTCTTCCTAAATATGCCCCAAGAGATGAAAATCTGTGTCCACATAAAAACTGTGCTGATTTTCATAACAGCTTTATTTGTAATCAACAAAAAGTGACAGCAACTCAACTTATCATCTTGAGTGAATAAGTAAAAAATATGGTAGAACTCCTCCATGAAATCTACTAAACAATAAAAAAAAGAACAGAATTCTGGGTGTATCTCAAATAATTATGCTAAGTTAAAGACGTCAAACAAGATTTCAAGTAAAATTCTAGAAAAGCAAAAATTATAGTTAAAGCAGATCTGTGTTTGAGTCTGAATGTAACAGGTAAGAATTTCTTATGTTTTTGGACAGCAGAGTAGACAGTGAGAGAGAGAGACAGAGAGAAAGGTCTTCTTTCCATTGGTTCCCCCTCCCCCTCCCCCAAATGGCCGCTACAGCA